GCTGAAAGATGCCACCAATAAAGTAAAAAATCCCTAAGAGTGTTTGGTAGCTATAAAACTGATACACAAGTAATCCGATCCCTCCTATAATCCATGACATAAAACACAATACTATACCAATCAGTATAGCTTTGTATCTTCCAATCCATACATCAGCTAACAGACCAAATAAAGGAAAAGAAAAGAAAGTAAGACTGACGACTATAATAGGCCCATACTTGTGACTGGGACTTTGAGGTACACTCACTTCATGAAAACCGCTGAGTATAAAGTAGAGGGTAAGATCATGAACATACATCAGATAGTCCCATAGTAGAACCAAGACTACTGAAAAGATCGCTCTGTGAACCATTTCTGCTCTGATGTAAAAATGAATGTGTACTGTACATGTACTATTATGCTTTAGAAAAATAAAGGGAAAGATATTGCAGAAACTGAAGTTTGGAGATTATCAAGTGTAGATAAACAAATAATTAACTTATGGCAGCAGTGTATTACTTAATGATGATGTTTATCTACCATATCCTATCATACAGTTGTAATTTGATGTTAGAAATAACTACTATAGAGTACACAACAAGTACTTCATAGTCAGATGTGTATGAAACAGCATGAACGTAGGGTAACAAAACCAAAGATCAAATCAAAGTAGACATACCGTATACGTTCAAATTTTTGAGGGTTCAAAATTTCGTGTTTTCAAATAAAATTTGCTCAAAAGTTAATATTCGTGTGAGCTAATTTTCGTGTTCTGGCCATAGTCTACATACAATAGAATGGCATTAGAGGTGGTTTAAATTTCGTGGATTTAAGGTGAGCACGAAAATAACGAAATTTAATACACCTCGCAAATTAAGACGTGTACGGTACATCTTATTCCATCATATTACATGCATGCATAACAATAGAATTATACTATTAATAAAGTTAACTGGGATGCCTGTCTATCCGCTACATGTATCATACCCTACCATAATCTGATGTCAGGAAACTAATAGCTAAATGTGCATGGACTATAAGTACTTTATGGTTACTCAGCTTCGTAGATGTATGAATGGCAGCGTGAAAGCAGAGCAACCAAAACAAAATATCAGACTAAAGTAGACACACATCTTAGTCTGTCAAATGTTTCAATGCATTAAAATAACATACATGTACATCTACATGTAACATTACAATAGGATTATACACTATTAATACAACATGTACATGTATAAAAATTAGAGACACAAGAATTGTTACGTGTCAGATACAAGAATTGTTACAATTACTGACTCACTTTCTAATAACAGTGGTTAGTTTAGGTTGTTGAGGAGCCTGAGGTCCATTAGGACTTCCCTCGTCACTCTCCTCTCCTCCAGGATTATCAATCTCATCATCATCCAATTCAAACAGCTCCTCCTCTCCCTCGCTCTCTCCTTCAAGAAATGAGTC